CCCTTGGATCTCTCCCATGGTGCCATGTTTTGCCAAGTCTCTTATTGTTGAATCATGAACTCTGAACTTCAAATGAGGACTCGAGTTCCCGTTTAAGTGATATCGAGATCCAACTGGCAGTAATCAGACCTGAGTGTGGCTGGTGAAATTGAACTGAGCTTTCTAAACCAAAACAAAGTATGAGTTAGTTCATGATTTAGCAAGGAGGGCATCTACTTTCCACACAGGAAAGGCATGTTTTGTTAGCTTTTTCCTCCTTGTTGGGTTGTCTTTGTCTAATATAAAAAAAAAATTTGACCTGAAAATTTGAAATCCTGGAAATATGTCAAAGTAAAAAATGAGGAAGGGGGGAAATACTTTGTCATCAGCTGTACACGTCAGTGGTTTGTTACTTTGTTACAGAAGAGGTCAAATTAAAGGGGAAACAATTCATTTGTTTTTGTTTGTGTTGCTATGGCATCAACCATGAGGGCAGGTAATGTACAACATGCTTTCAATATCTGCTGCGCTTAAACCACAAAACTGATTACCAAGTGCCACGACAGGTCCACAGAGCTAGATGAACTGAGCTATTCCCTAACGGGTAATTTTTAGGATTTGAGGTACCCGCTTTCAACCTGATTATTTTATTTTTTCCTTTGCCATCCAGATTCATTGGAACAGGCATCCAGTACTGCTTCACCAAAAACCTGCACACTTTCTCCAACAAGTTCTACTTCAGCTACTTCCTCCGGGTGGTAACTGGAGCGCTCGCTTGCATCTTCCTGTGTTTGTCCATCAATCACTTTGGCCGACGTGGCATGCTTCTCCTCTCTGCCATCATCACTGGACTGTCTTCACTCCTGCTGCTGGCCCTTACACCATGTATGTAACATCCACACAGGCCCATAAGATCTACTGTAAATTCCCTTCAGAGTTTCCTTGAAAAAGTTTTGGATCACATCCCAGAAGGTTTTTCACTCTCTGGTTTTAATGACGCTTTTATTGACGTTTGTGTTTGACAGACCTGCAGGGTGGCCTGGTGCTGGTGCTCTCTGTTGTGGGTTTGTTGTTCTCTCAGGCTCTCGCCATGCTCAGTGCATTCTTCGCCTGTGAGGTGATGCCAACTGTAGTTCGGTAAATGTCTCTTTGTTCTTGATTAAACTGAAAATGGGACGTATTGATCCCATTTGCTGCAACGTCAAAAGGAAGTTTTAAAGTACAAAGGAAAAAAACAGGTTCAAACAAAGTACCGTGCGATCTTTTCACCTTGGTGATTTATTCTCCTTTTCCTGTGCTTCCTCTCTCTCGTCCAGAGGTGGCTGCCTTGGCCTGGTGCTGGCATTGGGTTGCGTTGGCAGGGCCGCCTCCTCCCTGATGGAGCTCCAGAACAATGGTGGCTATTTCCTCCATCATGTTGTCTTTGCCTCCTTCGCTGTCCTCTCCGTCCTCTGCATAATGCTCCTACCTGAAAGCAAACGGAAACCGCTCCCAGATTCCATGAAGGACGGCGAGAACCAGAGGCGACCACCCCTCTTCCTGTCGCAGCCCACCAGAGACAGCCTCCCTCTACTGCACACGCGTACCCCTTTGTCGGAGTACAACCCGGATAACTACTCCCTCCTGGTGTCTGCCACCAGGAAGATGTTGACTAAAGATTCTTTGCCTTACAGGATTGCTGTTCCTGCTCATCCCCCTCTGCTGTCAAACAATGAAACACAGGAACCAGAAACCCTGAGAGATGTGTCTTAAATTTAACCCTTCTCCTCCTCTTTACACTCTAGCTTGAGGGGATGAGCCGAAATGTTACCTCTGACAGGCTATGATAAGTCTTCAGTGGAAGGGTCAGTGACTAGCTCTTCATAACTCATCTGGAGAGCTGGATGCACTTTAGAGCAATGGCTCCAACTCAGTCAGTTTTCATCAATATTTCCATCGGGTCTCTTTACATTTTGTTACTATGCAGTGGCGTCTTCACGCATGGATGCGGTCCACCGCTGTGGGACGATGGCCTCCTTTTGCTGTATTTTGTCAGCCTTTTCTGAGATGTAGGAATGTGTTGGTACATTGCCAGTGCAGCTGCGGTCACACTGCTCATGTCTGTGGTAGGCATTCAAAGCAAACTGACACACTCCAGTGTTACCAGAGGAGCTCTCTGTCATGTAAAACTCTTTGATTGCATTTCTCAGTAACACAGGAGTTCTTCATTAAGTCTGTCTGCCTGACTCACCAGCAGATAGCAGCGCTGAGTGGGCTACAGATCACCAGAGCACGCAATACTATACTTGTGAAGCACAGCAGGGGGTGCTGATGATGCACTAAAAAAATATAAATTATAGTTTTGTTTTGTTTTTGTTTTTTTGTTGTTTTTTTTTTTTTAAGGCTTTTTGTTTCCTGTGCAACTAACAAGCTTCATTTGTCCTTTTTCTGATGTTAGGATGTGATCAGTGTGGATAAACACAACCATTTCTTTACCATTACGTTTTTCTGTCTTCATGCTCCCTCTATAAACCACATCTATTACCAACTATTGCATTTAAAAACTGTCTTGTTGTTTTCTACTTAAACTGGAAGTGGCTAAATTTCAAGATGCACTAACCACAGCAGCTGCTGAGCAAAAAGTGTGTCTGTGTCTGGAATGCTTCAGCTAAAACGCAACAACGTTGTGGAACCAGTAGACATATATCTTTACATTTTTCTTTTCTTTTTAAAAAACTTTTGTTTAATGTTCTTTTATGTTTACTAGTGCGGATGTTTTACGTGTTTAAAGCCTTTAGTTTTAACTGTGAAATGAGATCATGTCTTCAGCCGTCAGTGTCGTTGTGTGATAGTTTACTGTTTGAATACATAACTTTACCTTCAGTGAGGAAACAAAGGTGCTTGTGTTGGAACTACAGTTGGTGATGTATGCTTTTAAAACCTAATGTTTTATTGTTTCATTGTAAAGTAAAATGTACAAAAGCTGAGTGTTAACTTTTTAAGGAAAATAATCTAAATCTTTCTTTTCCCCACTTCTCTGTAAACCAAACTCAAATCGACATTTGTTTTAAAAATGTTCAGTGATGGTGTTTCTCTCTCTGAACACTAGATGGCCCTGTTCACTTTACAAAACAAAGAAATGTACTGCTTGGAGTGAAAATGTTCAGGTGTGCGTACTCAGATTATAGTTGTGTGACTTCATTATTCAACTAAACCCCCCCACCCCCCGTTTACAGTCCTGCCCATAAAAAGGCACCTTTACTACTTTTTGTTTTTGTTTTAAATGAGATAAAATGGATGAATTGAAACTCTGACTCAGGTCTAAATAAACTTTAATAACATAATTTGTTTGTCCATCTTTTATACCATTTTACAGTTAATATAATTGAGTCTTAAAGCTTTAAAAACTGCATGAGGGGAGAAAGTTGTGCAGTAGTTTCTCTCAGCGGTATAGCATTACAGTTCAGGATTTAACTCATGACTTACATACCGTAGGTTTTACAGCTACCCATTAAACAGTTGATGTAATCCAAGCCTGGAGAGCCAGAGTAATCAGAAGCACCAGTGTACTGAGTGAATGGGCTGATCCGTTGGATCCGCCAGTGCTGGGGTATCCGAAGCTTGTTCTGCACGGGTTCTGCACATCTTCTTTTGGAATGGGAACATCATCCGGCATCTCGTTGCTCATGCTGTCGCGGACCTGACACACAAAGATGACATCATCAGGCAGCAGACAAAAACGCAAATGGGGTGTATTCACTGTGAGCCCATCTGCTATTCAAAGACTTTGTTTAAAACCTTCTGATGTAGCCACGGAATAGCTGTCAACACCAACATTACTTATACACACATTTTTAAAAAAGCTCAGTGGTCTTTAGATGATCATTGATAGTTTAGAGATTGTATTCAGGCATATGTCCCAGTGATCCACATGAGGGTTCATCTGTTTATCTATAGTGCTGTTAAATTTGAGTCTACTTAATCAAAGAAAAAACGATAATGCAGAGAAACTGGTAGAAGGTGTGGTTTCTGGGGATGAGGAACAATGACTCACAATAGTTAAATGTTATAACCCCCCCCCAGTCATCATGCAGATGCTTATCTGGTGCTGTAAAGTCAGCTGAGATGCAGATATAATTCATCAAGTCATTACCTAACTGTAAACATCTAAGTTTTCGGTTAGGTAATGACTTTGTGAATTGCTACTTGTCGCAAAGGACATTTGTCACAAGACAACCTGCAGAAACCAGCTAGTGCAAAACATTTTGTGATGGATGTGATTGGAGGAATTATTATTAAACACCTTGCATTCAGAGCCCTTTTAGAGGAAACCAACATGATGACTCTGATCCCCACAGCAGCTCTTTGAGTGGCCTCACACATGCAAAGAACTCACTCACTCCTTATCTTTTTCACTTCTGATCAACTTCCCTTGAATATGCACAGTAATGCACCGTTTTAAGTTGTTACAGATAAACATCCAGTCTAGTTTTTGTTGCAGGCATTAACTTGGAGGAGTGTTGCTCTTGAATTGATGATATATCCCACGATATTGATGGTCAGAGTTTGATATCATGGATTTTGGTTCTTAAGACATTTGCAGCTGGTATAAAATTGATTTAGTTGAAATGATTTTTTTTTCTTCAGCCTTGACGATGTCATGCAGCTGGTCTCTGTGGTGCTCAAAAATAGTGGAAAAATCTGTGACTTAAAAAGACCCAAATTTCAGCCCAACCTTGTGCACTTTTGGTCCTGTAACAAAGAAAATGTCCATTTTATGATTTCGCAGTTGGTGCAGAATAAAAACCTGACTTTGAGGGGTTAGGTGGGAAACACTCATTTGGTGGTTTTTAATGGAATAACAGATCTACTAGTGTCACTCCATCAACCAGCTCAGAATTACAATCCGGAAACAACTGCTATATCAGATTTTATTGCTTTAAGGTGTGCTGAGTATCTTATTCTTTCTTATTGTTGCAGATCCTCAGATAAGGAGGCTGATATCTCTGTCATGCTGGTTTAAATGGATGGCGTGAGGAAACGTCTTAACAGGTACTTTTGGTTGCTCTCTCTAATTTCCCAAGGGGAAACAGATCTGTATGTTTGATTTGGCCAGGTGCCCTTCCTCCTCACATTTATCCAGGCTTGGGATCAGCACAGGGAGTACGCTAGCTTTTGTCCTCTACTCTCAAACCGAAGATCTTTTGCATCTAAGGTAAATATGTTTACCACTAAACAAGTCAATCAATCAAACGTGTGCAACCAACTTGACCAAGCTTCTTCACACAGCTCTCCAAATGATACATGAACCCATGAAGTGCATCAAGCTTTAGGTTACTTGTGTGTGTGTGTGTTTGTGTGTGTGCATTTATTCCTTACCTTCTCAACCTCGCTCATGACACGGAGCAGGTTATTTCCAAGAGCAGCTTTGACTTCCTCATCAGTCCATCCTCTCCTGAGCAGTTCAGCCACCAAATTGGGGACCTTGGACACATCCTCCAAACCCTCAGGTACTCTAAAAGGACAAATTTACAACCAGCGAGTTACATGTGATGTAACATTGAGTGGATTTTTTTTATACAGCACTTCCAAAAAGCAGTACTATATTTAAAACAAACAAACAAACGAACACAATTTTTTTTTATCAAGAAAAATTACAAGAAAATCCAGCTAATTGGAAGAAAAATGTAAAGAAAAGTGTTGGTGTTTTGTTTTTTTTTCCCCATCAAGACAATTTTGAATATGACACAAGTCTAACTACCCAACGGGCAAAGTTACAGTACTGTGGAAAAATCCTGAACCACTCCTCATTTCATCATATTTTCCTTCCAATGACTCACACTTTCTTGCAATATTTTAAAGTGGTCTTGACCAGCAGTTCTCCAGGCTTTGTGAATGTTTTTCAAAGTGTTTCTTTGGACACTGGCTGCTTTTTCCATGCGTCTTCAGTCCAGTCCTTGTACCTAACCATTTTCAGATGAATATTCTTTGCTTTTTTTTTTAAAAAAAAGCCATGTATAACGCAGACCTTTCAATCATTCAAGAATAAAAGGCACATAAAAGGATGAACCAGTGTAGACACTTAAAAACAAGTCTTTGTTAGTAGCACAAAAACACATCATTTGTTGTAATTTCTTTAGATGAATCTCTGAAAAATACCCAAGATAATAGTTTGACAGGAGAAGAAAGTGTTTTTGCACCAACAAGGTGATTCCCAAAGAGCTATTAGCAAAAAAAACTTTGGTGCATCCCTCCACGGTGTGCCAATGTCTTCACATTTCAGTGAGTTTATGGGGGAACCCACCTGGGAACGCCATCATAATCTCCACCAAAGCCGATGATGTCTGCCCCGGCCACTTTCTTTATATGGTCGAAATGATCTATAATGAAAGCAACAAACTTGAGAATGAAGTGAATGGACAGAAGACAGCTTTGAGAATAAAAAGATAAATGTTAATGTTTGACTGGTTTACAGCAGATGTCATGGTCACAGCAGTAATTTACCTGCAACATCAGACAATTTAGCCGTATTGCTGCAGGTCACATAGTCATTGTAGAAGTTGACCATCACAGTTCCTTTAGTTTCATTCTGGAGAGACAGACTGGTGTTAAATGGCTCTGATCTACTGCAGAGAATGACAGAAAGTCAAGAAAAGCATCAACCGGGCCACGAAACGCACGTCCCAATGATCCGCATGAGTGCACTGACCTCTGCTACGTTTCCTGGTTATAACTTTACGTGTATCATTTTACAGTGCTGTACAATAACTTTCTTGTTTTTATCTTATTTTATTGACTTTAAGAGGGAAGTTGTCATTACGCATCATTTAACTTGATCCATTTACAGCCATTTGCAGCTCATCTGTTGCATAAAGAGCTTTTATGGATGCGTTATCTAAGACCCCAAGCAGCAGTTCAATGTCAGCTGGTTGCGTGTTTTACTGTGATCAGGTGATCTGTTGATGCATTTTGCTCCCCCACATCCAGATCACTTACAACATCTGTGGTGCATTTGGGCCCAGTTTTGTGTTATTTCTAAGAGCCTCTATTTGCATTGTGACTCCTTGCTTTTACTCCCACTTTTCAGATGGTTTCAACTATTTGAGGAGCAAACACCAAAGACGATGCAATAATAGAGAGAATAAAATAATAAACATGTGAACTATTCATATACTACTGCTGATCTTCACGAGGTCCTCAGCCTTTAGGTTGACCTGCTGTTTCTTTCGGTTGTGTCTCGTGAACTCACCACTCGTCTCAGGACGTCATCTGGGACGTTCCTCTTATGTGGACAGATGGCGTATGCGGAGGAGTGGCTGAAGATGACCGGAGCTTTAGACAGGGTCAGCACCTGGTTCATCACCTCCTCAGAAACATGAGCCAGGTCGATCAGCATCCCCAGGCGGTTCATTTCCGCAATTACTTGCTGTAATGAGAACGCACTTTGGTTACTACTGTGGTTGTTATAGTTTTGTATTTTCTGATTACTCCTTATTTATATATTAGTTTCAGTTAGTTTCAGTGAGGGTTGGGAGGATGTGCACAGTGTTTCAGCTTTGATCTTTTTAAGTATTATTTTATTCAGCACATATGCTAAGAGGTAAGATTTATGAAAATCTGTAAAGCTTTTCTCTGGCTTTTTTTTTTTCTCAAAAATTCAGCGATACATTAATTTGTTTATGTAATCATGCGTCAGCAATTTATTTTTATTAGTCTGCCGTTATCTAACTCCATCACAAACAGCTCCAACACTCCCTCCACCTCACCTCACTAAGCTCATGTGCATGTGCGTGTTATCAACAGCAGAGTTTTTAAGCTATAAAAAATAATAACGGAATACTTTTTTATTGATACTTTGTCAGTGTTTTCTGATGCTGCTTTTCTGAGTTAATGAGGTCATGGTTTTTACAAATGGCTGTCAGCAGTCCGAGTTGTAGCTCTCTCCTGATCACTTGTGTATAAAACAACAATTTGAACTTCCAATCTCTCCTTCAAGGCCTGCTGTCACTTATTTTCAGTCCAGTTCTTGTGTAAAAGGCCTCTGAAATAGTTAACATAAAGAGATTCTTAAACGTTTGAAAAGTAGTGATTTACCATATACACAAGAAGGTCAGCTTTAACCTCCTAAGACCCAAACTCTTTCACGACATGCATTTTTAATTTCTCTTTGATATTTGGGCATATTGGGGCCCGATGCATGAAAAAACAAAAAATTACCTGATTTTTTTTTAACCTTATTTTTGTTTTTAAGAAAAATAAGAGCCACATATGAGGATATTTGTTTAAAGGTTTGATAGAACAAAAGCAGTATAATGTCCTCGTAAGTGGATATCAGGCCCATGTAGAGCAAAATTGAGTATTTTAGTCTAAATAACCCAAAATGTGATGTCCACATATGTGGACACAGGGTCCTAGGAGGTTAAATAAAAAAAGAGGAATAGGAATAAAGCTACACAAAAGATGTTAATGTGTAACATAGTACTTCCAGAAATAATGATTTCCCACGTTTGCATCACTGACTTTGCCAAAAGAAGAGAGGCCATTATGCTCAGATGACTCTGATCCAGTGTCCACGAGCCAGTTATCTACCCTGTGAATGAAAAAGCAAGTGTTAGTAAACATGCAAAACTTAAGACAACGAATAATCTGGAACTCATTTAAAGTAAACTGAAGTGTTCATTAACATTTTATGAAACACTGAGAAAGATGGTAAATGGTAAATGGCCTGTATTTATATAGCACTTTACTAGTCCCTAAGGACCGCAAAGCGCTTTACACATCCAGTCATCCACCCATTCACACACACATTCACACACTGGTGATGGCAAGCTACATTGTAGCCACAGCCGCCCTGGGGCGCACTGACAGAGGCGAAGATGTACAAAGATATTTTAAGGTCTTTCTCCATGATTTCAAACGTAGCAGATTATATAAAGTTCGCTGTTTTTCCCAATTCTAAAAACAAAAATAAAAGAACTGGTAAAAGAATTTAGTAATATAGTTTAACATCTTCCTGGAGGCCGATGTTCACATGGTGAGGTGCAGACCTCCCTTTCTTTCATACATGTCTCCACAAAACCTTTACAAAAACAAACAAACAAACAACCTTTATTTGTCACATACACAAGCATACAGATTACAACATGTAGTGAAATCCTTGTGTCCAAGCTGCAGACGTAACCACGCCATTCCAGAGCTTGATTTTTTTTAGCATGGGGGGGGGTCTAGCCAGGACCCTTACTGGATCCTCAGCTACACATGTATCGTGACACAAAAGGCATTCTATTCTCTTTCTATTTCCTAAATGTAACCAGCTGCTGGTTGCACCTGGTTGGTTCACTGTTGAGGTAAAGCATATCGGTACAGATTCACCTGCCAGTGAATGTGATACTGCTGCCTGAGTGGGCCTGCAGGAATCCCCCGTGCTCTCCACAGCTCTAATGCAACATCTGAACCTTACTGTCGGCTCAGTTAATGAATGGAAACAGTGCAAACATGATCCAGAGGAAGTTATTCTTCACATAAGACGTCTCTTGATTCTTTTTCACATGAATTTATTATTGAAACCGTCACACAGTGACATAGCCCCTACCTCTGCATTTTCTGTTTAATGTTGTGTAGTTGTAATTTGGATAAACATTCATCTGAATGGGGAAGTGAAGCCATGTGACTGAGCATATTTAACTCAGCTGAAAATACAGAACTAGAACTAATAGCTACTATATTTTCTGCCTGGAAAACACATGTCATATAAATATAGAGGCTCGGTTTTCCAGACTAATTCTCAAAAACACTTTTCAGTGAAGATGTTGATTGAATTTGTCATTGCGATTGATTTTTGTCTGTGACCAGGCTCGATTCATGCCTTGCAAATCACTACGGCTATTTTCAATTTTCTTAGCAAAATATAACGAAACAATGTGTTTATCAAGACTTTTGAGCATCATTATAGTCAATCAATAGAAACGTGAAAATAACCTACTCATTGTTTGTATTATTCTGAAAATTCAAACACATTTCTTTATATAAGTAACAGCAAATTCATTGATCTTTGAGGTCTGACCGATGCCTTAAAATGTGGTGGTGGCTCTTACCAAGGTGTGTTGCAGGAGTGGGTAAGTGTTAGGTAGCGCACCCCCAGCTGGTACATGGTGCGCAGGGTCCCCAGACTGCTGTCGAGTGAGTGACCACCCTCAACCCCTAATCAGACTGGCGGTCTTATTCATATTAAAGGCCTCCAAGATGTCTGTGCAGACATGACAGTTGATGTGTGATACAGCCAGGAGAAAGATAGCTATGAACTGTCGTAGTCAGTGTCTCACCTTGGCTACTGGTGGCAAACATGAAGATTTCAGGGTATTTCTGACACATCCTGTGAATCACGTCTATCTGCTCCAGCGTTTGTCTGACAGCATCTTTGTACTGAGTGTCACAGGGGACGTATGCTGCCCAGAACTGAGGACCAGAGCAAAGATTATACTATGTATAATTAACTTTCAAAGTTAAACAAAGATGAATAAAATACAATCATTCTCTCAAACACATATGCACAATAACGTAAAAAAGGTATTTGCCCCACTCATGATTCTCTGATTCAGCAGGGTGTGGCTAATTCATCATTTAATTTGTGGGTGTGTGTGGAGGGGCTTAGTGTTTTTTTTTCATGGCATTGATTGTGAGTGGTTGCTGGAAGCTAATGACTGTCACTGGGAAAGTGATTGCTAAAGCCCAAGTCATCCAAGCCTACAGATCAGTAACCACCTGTTGCTAGTGAAAAGTGTGCACATCCTAACCAGTTGGTTAAAATTTCCTTGTGATTGGTTTGGTCGCTATGATATTGCTGCGGTCCTCTGTAGTTTGCATGGAAGTGACAGACTTGTGTACGTTCTGAGTCAGCAACATCCCGAGACCACAACAACCCAGTCAGTGAATACATGTTTTCTTAGCAACGACTGTTTGTATCACGCCCCATGTAGCCAACACCTCTTGCGCACATGACATCATTCAAGAAACTTTAATAGAAATAGAAACTATGACAAAAATAAATAAAAAAATAAAACAAAAAAAAGTTTCATGGTCCAATGTTTTTTTTTATTGTTTTGGGGGATTTGAATTCTTTGAGTGTTTCAAATGCTTGGCTTCTGTTGGCTTTTCTGAATTTCTGTCTTGATTTCATTTTCATTCTAGTGATAGTTGCCTGAAAGGAGTATTATTGAATCTTTAATTTAGATTCTTATTTTCTGGGCTTTCTTGGAATGAGTGCCAGCTCTTCCACTCTGTATCAATATAAGTGCCCTTCGTTTTCCCCGTTTCCTTCCCCTCCATGTGGTGTAACACCTTCCTTCTGTTTTTTGTTTCCCTCCTTAATCACTTAAGTAATAATTCGTTTTTAGTTTCATATTTCGTGTCTATTTGTTTCAGTTATGGTAGTTTCAACATCTTCTGTTCCTTTTGCAAAAAACAGTTCCCATTAGTGATTTATTTTCATTATATTATTTTATTTTATTTTATTGTTTTGTTTTATTTTCCCTGTGAGTATCTTAATTATGTTCAGCTGTTTTTGCTATACCCTTCTCTGTCCAAACCCAAATAAAGCCGTCGATGTGAACATGTACAGCCCCAGTCTTCCTCCTGGTGTCCTGTGTGTGTTTTGTGTGTAGACTTTTTAGAGATTAGAAATTAACTATCAATATTTGCCTTTTAGTTTTGGACTCAGTCTCCTGTGCACTCCTTGTACAACTCTGTACAACTGCAATTAAAAACAAAATGTATTGACAGATATAGATTTTTTGAGATGTTTTTAATCTCTTGAAGAAATGGCTGACTTCTCTGCTAATAATATGTTTAAAATGAGAGTGTAACATGACTTTTTAAAATGATCAGTCTGATTCAGTTGTTGTGTTATTTTGTGAGATATCTCCAGTGAGGAGGGTTTGTAGATAAGCTGTGGGAGCCCATGAATAAGGAGCACATTGACACTGAAAGTATGTTTTTCTTTAATAATTCTTCCATCGTGTGTACCTGAGCACCCAGTCGTCCATCCTTGATCTTAGGGATGTTGGTGTGAGTGTTTGCCAGTGTGTTAAGATCCACTTTGTTCAGCTGATTGTTGAATTGTGACCGAAGCTGCCAAGGCAAGTCATTATGACTGGAACAAAGCACAGGAGAAAGATCATATCAGGAAAGAAGTGAACTTGTTTTATTGGGTCAGCATTATGAATTTAATTTGTAACTAGACTTCAATCGCAGATATTTACACACTAATCACAAATAAATAAATAAACAAATAAAATTTCACTTACCCATCAATGAGTGGCGTCTCTGACATTAACTGCAAGGCTCTGGCCATGTAATCGTTGGGATCCACAGCCAAGGTGATGGCGCAGGAAGTGATCCAGAGCACCAAGCATGAAGCCAAATTTACCCTGTGCAGCATTTCCTAAAGTTTAAACGCACTAAATAGATTCCTATCTTACTCTTTGTTTGTCTGGTTTTATCCTGATAACCAAATCAAAAGTTGCAGTGTCTGAGCCTCTCTTTGACCTTTGTAGTAATCTTAATCCTTGAAAAACGTCCTTGAGCAGATTTCTTACTTAAATGTCCTTCAGTCCTTTGTCTGTTGGGATCTTTACAGATTTTCGCTCCAGATTCTTTCTGTTTTCAGTTGTTTACATGGTGCCAAATCATTACAAAGGCTGCCTCGAAGTACCTTTATTGCAGGACTACCCTTTGCTCCTCCTATGTGCTGAGTAAGTTTACAGCGCCAGCTATAATAAATGCAGCTCAGTAGCTTATTAATCTCTGGCTCTCTTCCGCAGTGTGTCTTTGTCCTGTCTTCCTCCTCTACATGTCATTAAGTGTATGTAAACCACAAAGGGGGAAATTACATTCTAAGCATAGACAATCCCTACTCATTTAAACAAAGGTACAGTACACAATACTGTTATCAAGATGTATAGCGTAACCCAATATGGGTGAGAAATGACAACATATGGCCACCCCTTCCTGAGCCTATAACTGGTGAAGGATTCTTTTTGGTAAAAAAGGAGTTTCTTCTGTTACGGATTCAAATATTGGGAATGGATACAAGAGGAAAACCAAAATAACAACACTGGTCCGGCCGGGTCAAGTCAAACGATGATTTAATGAACACACGCGTGGGAGATGGACACCATACACAGACAGCATCAGATCTCAAAATGGTGGAGCCTTGATCAAACTCTTATA